AGTCACATGACAAGCTCTCACTCGGAACCCTCAAGGCAAAAGAAAAAGAGGAAGGCCAAAGAACACAATACGCCGAAAAATAGAGAAAGACATGAGAAGAATGAACGAAAATTGGACAGAACTGGAGAGGGAAGCCCAGGACAGAGTTGGTTGGCGAAAACTGGTGTGCGGCCTATGCACCACTGGTGGTAACAGGCGTAAGTAAGTAAAATGTACGAGTAGTAAAACTTGTATTTGGCGGCGAATTCAAACTCTTATTACTACTGAGCTTTCCGGACACTAACTGACGGATTATAAAGCTGAGATACTTATAACGGACTGACCACTAAATAGTGATTGACATCATATTTGATGACCGAATTCTATCACTCAGGATATGCAGTACAGCAGTTTGACTAATTGATTTTATCAGACATCTTTCATTGTATACATAATCACCAGTGTATACATAGTTAATTGATTTGTTTGGTCTTAGTTTGTTCTCCTAAAGCAAAACATATTTGTTACCCACCTAATTAAGCAAAATGAAATATCGAACACATTCTGTCGTAATGATCAAACTGTAATGTAAAATGTGAAAGTTGCACATTTAATTTTGCTTAAAGTCAAAAACGATTCTAATTAACAAATCTTAAGTTATAGTAAATAACTTATCGGATAATTTCAAGACTTAATAGTCCTCCATTTGTATTAAATGTTTTAATCTTCCAATTGATGTTTACGATTGTAAATGATTAGTCTTTTGGGCATATATGCATCCTGTGCTGATTGCCTCGGTATTGCCTTCAAGTCAAACATAATATTAGCAGAGGTGAATAGTAGCTAACAGTGGGATCTAAGATGCTCGCTGCACCCTATTTGGAACTCATCAGTTGGATGTACCGGTATCTCTGAGTTGATGTTCACTCCGGAATCGCTTCAAACACCATCGTTTCATCCATTCAGCTGGCAAATGTAATAGAGCAGTCTTATAGGTTATAATCTGTGGAATATATCCATGTTACACGATAATCTCACTTAAAATTATTAGAAGGATTTGAGTGTTAGATGGTTGAACATAGGGTTTTATACAAATTGAAATTATCCAACAGAGATTATCTGTAATGGCGAAGATTTGAACCTAACTAAATCAGTAGAATTCTGTCAGAACTAAATAAAACCTGATGTAAGGTTTAATTTGTCCTACACATGTAATTCTAGGACGGTAAACGCAATATTGGAGAGCACTTTTGCTTTAAGCTTTATCTGTTTCTAAACATAAAAACAATTACATTAGTACAATAAATAAGGAAATTACAATTATCAAGTAAGACGAGCAAACGTACCGACCAATATAGCCTGTCTTATGGAAATGAGTAAAGTTATGAGTCACATCAATATAATAAGATAATAATGTCGATCATTTTGTAGGTCATTTACAACAAAGAAGGTTTACAGACATGTCAGATCAGATCACGTGGTGGGCGCTTAAACCACAATTTGATTGGTTAGATATGACATAACTACAATTAGCTATAGAAATAACTAACACATGATATTGTTTGCTACTCAATAATCAAGTACGTTCACTTGTTGAATCTAAAATCAGATAACTCGTCATTATTTGTATACAGCAAACGATTCTTTTAAAAACAGTATCAATTACTTTATCTCATTTCCAAATTAATCAAAAACTGTGTTCTTCTTAAAAACCAATTGCTTTATATCTGTAATTGAAAACTCTCGAGTTATATAATGAATAATAAAAAATAACTAACATAAATACATTTAGATTAAGTGAATAAAATAATCTCACAAAATGGCTATATTTATTAATCTTATTATTATTATTATTATTATTATTATTATTATTATTATTATTATTATTATCTACGATTGTTATAAAAACTAAACTATGCTATGAGATAATAACTTCTGTTTGCCACTGATTTTCTTTTGCTTGAATAGACTGGATTACTTAATGATATTTATATAATATTTGAACTAGTTAACTTAATTTTTTTTATAAAACAGAACGCAAATAAAATACGGGTTTTTTATAACACAAATAATTTGTTTATTCAAATTTATTCAACGAGCAGATTGCACTTATAACTGAGCAGTCATTAGAAGATCATTGAGACGTTGTTTTTTTAAAAAAAATTTAATAATGGATTGAGAATTAAAAAAAAAACTTTTAAAAGAATAGTCATATTTATCCATCTTTAATCAGATAGTGAGTAAGATAATGTTTTAGAATAATGTTAGATAAATAAATTAGTTTGCAATTCCATTTACAAAGTCGACAAGATTTTTGTTACAAAAGCCTATTAGATTGCAGTTTTACTGTTATTTGTAGTGATGAGATAAATTATTTTCCCCTGGAAAACTGGAGAAAATAAGGAGTACTGAACAGTTGTGTTGTTCTCATTGAGACTTCTAAATCTTGTCCTTTAAAATTCTATGGGTTAATCACGTACCACGAGGTTCCCTTAGAGTAAATGACATGGCGAATACGTTAACAAAATGTGGATGGAGTCTTTTGATTAGTCTGAGAGACAATCTCTAGCTTATCTTGGAAGTCTCATCAACCCTGATGAGTTTTGTCCGATGAAATTTTCCGTACGAATCCAGAGAGTTCTGATGACTTTTGCTAACTTGCTTCACTTGTGGTGTAGGTGAAATTTCAGTCTCTCGACCAATGTGCATGAATACTTTACAGTAGTTTATTCTGTTCCATTTTGTGACTGTGAAACCTGATTTACGGAAGAAAAATACATTCACAAGCCGTATGTTTATAATCATACAAGTATATATTCCAATATTATAACCGTTCTAGATACATCATCAAATTTATAAACTGTTTATATATCCTCATGGCATTAATACTTAACATAAAACTTCATTTTTATACACGATCGTATAGCTTGATAAAATCCTTTGGCTAAACTTCGTATTTTGACTTCAGTAAGTGTGATTTTGTAATTTATAAATGTAATTTTGCCAAATTCTGATTCGTTCGTTAGTGTTAAAACATGCTAAGTTTATGCGATTTGGAAGCGATTTCATCATGATGACTGATAAAAAACTAGGAAAAAAAGCAAGATGTATAGTGATATATATATATATAATGATAAAAACTAGAACATTCAGATATCACAGAAAATATGATTACGTACTTACGCCTGTTACCCCCAGTGGTGCATAGGCCGCACACCAGTTTTCTCCAACCAACTCTGTCCTGGGCTTCCCTCTCCAGTTCTGTCCAATTTTCGTTCATTCTTCTCATGTCTTTCTCTATTTCTCGGCGTATTGTGTTCTTTGGCCTTCCTCTTTTCCTTTTGCCTTGAGGGTTCCGAGTGAGAGCTAGTCATGTGACTCAGTTAGGTGCTTTTCTTAGTGTGTGTCCTATCCACTTCTACCGCTTCTTCCTGCTTTCCTCCTCCACTGGAATCTGATTTGTTCTCTCCCACAGTAGGTTGTTGCTGACGGTGTCTGGTCAAGAAATCCGAAGTATTTTGCGTAAACATCTGTTAATGAATTCTTATGCCTTATGGATGATGGCCTTGGTAGTTCTCCAAGTTTCCGCTCCATACATTAGAACTGTCTTCACATTTGTATCGAAAATCCTGATTTTGGTTTTGATTGATATTTGTTTGGAGTTCCAGATATTTTTCAACTGTAGAAATGCAGCCCTTGCTTTGCCGTTCCGCGCCCTCACATCTGCATCGGATCCACCTTGGTTGTAAACGTGTTAACATCCTCTAAGGCGTGTCCATCAAAAGTGTTTTGGTTGGCGCAAGAAAATATGGTACTACTCAGTTATTTGGCTATCTCACAATTTGATTTCTGTCTGATAGACAAGCTAATAAGGTTGTTAACCCTATAAACTCAAGATGAATATTATTTTTAGGAAAAAAGATACTGGCTTTTCATTAGTTGTTTCAGTATTCCGATTGATTTTTAGGGTAATCTCTTTTTTCCTATTGGAATAAATGTATTTTGTGGAGATTGTCTACGATGAAGGTACATTCAGGCTCAGTCTCAAATGGAACAAAATGCATATCCTAGATTCAACTGCTAGCCACTATCCACCTCTGTTTAAAAATATCAAACAGATTAATCCTATAAATTGACCATATGACCATCCCAACACACTATATCATATACCCACATTCCATTTTTATTGATTAATTCATTATATCAATGGAAAATGTGTTATTTCTTTATTAATCGCTTAGTAATCTACACAAATATTTGGTGCATTACTAAATCAAAACACAAGAGTATATATATATATATATATATATATATATATATATATATATATATATCTTTTTTAATTGTCAATTCTTATATAAATGGTAATGATCTTACCTAATACGGGTATCATAATCATGAAAAGAAATAGTGAAAATAAAAAAAAAGCCTAAAGTTATTAAAATCTAATTGAAAATTTAGTTACGATGAAATTAAAGTGTAGTATATACGTGATCAATAAGTTGAGTTTGTTCGCATTCCTTTTTTCTATTCCATTAATCGATATCAATAAAAAAAATTCAGTAGAGAATATTAAATAATTGAAATGCTGGTTAGTTTTTTTTGTTTAAACGTTATATAATTTGATTTCAGTTTGTTTTTTTTATTTGTCTGTTTTTTTCAAACAGAACTTATTCACTAGGGGTATGGGTGGGGATGATGATTGAAGCAATCATTCCTGCCCATTTATTGATATCGATTCAGTGGAAAATGTTATGAACGATTAATTTTTATGAAGTTATTAATTCAGTTATACTGGTTTGCGATCATAATTAACTGTAAATAGTGATAAAAATGTCAACAATTATTGAATCATATCTCATTTTTGAAAATAGAACTAAATAATATTTCAGTTATTTGATATAAGAAGAAAAAAATTGATCGCATTGGAGTCCTGTTGAAAAAGATCATGGCTTCGTTTGATTAGGTGAATGATATTAACTTTTTCTTTATTCTTGTTTCAGCTAATTCAGTTCATATTCATGTATACGCTGAAAACTATTACTACTACTACTACTACTACTACTACTACTACTACTACTACTACTACTACTACTACTACTACTACTACTACTACTACTACTACTACTACTACTACTACTACTACTACTACTACTACTACTACTACTACTACTACTACTACTACTACCTCATCTAAATTTCCTTGAAAATTTTGTCTTTCATTGGGAGAATCAATTTTTTCAAAAAGTATCCTTGATGAAAGTAAAGGAAAATTGAAAATTTACCGTTTTCAAGTTAGAGTTTAAACATAATTCGTAATATTGAATTCACTTAGACTTACAATCATAGAAATTCACTGAATAATAATGCCAATTTTTGTTATCTATATCTCTGCAAAGTTACAGTTAACTATGAATTGTTTAGTTCATTTTGTCAATCTAAATATTCAAAGGACCGAATAGTATATTTTGAAATAATGGTTCTAATGAATCTAACCATAATTCTTAAATGATTCATACTTTTTTTTGATAAAGGCATAAATTTACTTTTGATGTATTAACAAACATTTAATTTAACTTAGGTACATCTTTTCATTTTCGTCATAAGCATTTAACCTTATACTTAATATTATAAAAACAAAGCTTAACTCAATAGAAAATTTCCAGTTCGGTCATTGAATAAAACTTTCGTATCGTTCATAAATAACAAAATGGCCGAATTAACAAAGGAGTATATAGTTACTTAACCATAAATTGTTTTTTATTCATCAGTATGTTTTATGTATAACAGTAAGAATCAAAACTAAGGGCGCTGGTGTATTTCTATTTCATATAAACAAAGTCAAATAACTTGATAGAACCATTTAATCAGTTGTATAAGAGAGATGATAACTTGAATTGATGAATCCAATATGCCTAGTTGATCATTAATAAAACACAGAATTCTATCTAATACTACTTATTTCATAGATTTTCTGTCCATTGGTATTTTAACAAATTCCCTCATTTAATGCTTTTTTAAATACAAATCGAATTGGATTTACTTTTTAGTAGTGTAAATAAACACAAACAAGTCATATATGTACACGTAATTTATCTCTCATAATACATGCATTCATTTTCTCGGCTCTTTTCTCTCAGCAAAATGTAAACAATACTCTTTTTTTTATGCATGTCGTCAAACAATAACACCTTAATCTAGTCGATAATTTATCATTATCATAGAAGTAATGTATTTCTCTGTTCAAACATCAATTATTTTATTTCTTATTGATAAATAACATTTACGACAACCAATAAAATCCGCTTGTTTACATTCAATGGATTAATGTGATTCAGACAGTTTTAATAGAATAGAATTTTAAAAATAAAAATTACATTATAATTATTTGTTACTCATAATTGAACATTACATTTTAAAAAGAGATTAAAAAATTTTACATTTTTAATTGATAATTTAATGTGTTATTGTGTGTATACAAACTAATCTTAGTGTTTTAAGCCATTTACAGAATAATGATAAACCTAGAAAGAAACTCAGTGTTATTTATCAATAGCACCACATCTTTGAATTTAACATATGAAGAACATTAAGGGAATATTTAGGGGGAAAAAGGAAGAAATTATTAACAGCTATGTTGATAAATTAAAAAACTTGACATATTTACTATCAGCAACAAGAAGTTTTATACATTTACACTTTAAGCTTCATGATTTGTGCGTAATATGAAATCCAAATTTTCCTCAAGTTTTTTTTAAGTAACAGATTTATCAATCCTACAATGAATGTATAATCATTGTATGTGAGTTATATCATTGAATCTTTTAGTGAAAATTGAGTTTTTGGTATTTTCCTTTATTAAATATTTTATATAATTAGAAGAACTTATTTGACTTTGCTTTAATCTGATAAAGTTATGAGATATTTTTTAGCAGAGCTATTGGTAATATAATGATAACAAATACATTTGACATGATCAAAACTGAGAATATAGTGAATTGAATTCAGATTTGGTAATTTTAAGGTATCAATTTCACTACGACATCTAATTTTCTTTAATTCAATCTAATTTGATATTCTGTATATAAACTTCTTACAATTTGTGCTAGAACTACAGAGGAATCAATTTACTATCAGCACCAGCACCCACTGAATCACACATGACAAAGGAAATTTGGAAGACGTGGAAACCTTTACATACACGGGTAGTATCAATGGTAAACAAGGTGGATTTGAGGTAGGTGCGGAGACATGGATTGGTAAAACAAGGGCAACATTCCTACAATCGTAAAACAACTGTCTATCAACCAACATCGGAGTCACAGTTTTCAATACGAACGTCAAAATTGTTCCACTGCATGGTGCGGAAGCTTGGGTACTCTGTAAGCTATCATCCGCAAGATAAATGAGTTTATCATCAGTGGTCTACGAAGGACACTGAGGATCCGCTAACCTAACGCTATCAGCAACAACTTAATCTGGTAGAGAACAAACTAGCTTCCAGCTGAGAGGTAGATAGGACACATTGCGGAAATCATTCATCTTCATCACAAGGAAAGCCCTAACTTTGAATCCTCAAGGTAAAAGGTGGATAGGAAGGCCGACGAACACATTGATAGGAATTAAAGTCAGTCACTAAAAAAATGAATATCACTTTAAGATAACTTGTAAGTAGATCCCAGGACAGAGTTGGTTAGAAATTTATGGTCAGTAACATATGCTCCACGGGATGCAACAGGCATAAGTAGACATGTAAGTGTTTATCTGTCACGGCATTCATCAGGAGTCCTCATTCATACAGTGATAATTCTTGAAATTTCGTTGTGTTTAGATTGATCTTATAAACAAAGTAAAATAAACTTTCAATACTCATCAATTTTATTTCCTATTAACAATTGTTTGTGTTGATTCAAAGGTGATAAGAACCAACACCCCATGGACAGTTACTTTTGAACAATATGAATTTGAAGTGTTCTCACATTAGGGTTTGTGTTAGTTTAACAAAATAATATAGTAGAATAAGAGTAATCAATTATTATTTTTTCAATAAAACATTTTTAGTTCTATGTGTTTTCTCTTTCATACTATCTATAACACGTGATAAACTAGCCAGAGTGAATTGCAAGTAATCAAAAAACAATTTTCAATCTTTGGATTAAAGGTGTGAATTTCCACCGTAAAAAAAAACAATTTTAAATGTCAATTTGATCAGTTTCCACTGTTGACACAGTTGGTCATCTTTCTAAAGGTAACTAACTAACAGATATATATATATATATATATATATATATATATATATATATATATATATATATATATATATAATTTTTGAATTAACTTGTGAGAAGAATTTCAAATAAACCCTTTTTATTTCCATCAAGAAAATTGATTGACATACTAGAGAAAATCATAACAAAGCTCAATACAACCATAATTACTGTGAAGTGTGTGTCGTGTGTGAGTGAGGAGAAAGTTAAGGAAAAGACATTTAACTTTGCTTTATCATTTCAAATAACATTTCTGATGTTTGTTTTTTTTCGTTATTCCTACTTTATACATAAAACTTAATAGTTTGTAATTAACACATCTATAGGAAAATTGTTGTGATTAACTCTGAACTCAGACAGTTTGTGTTAGTTAAGTTTCAAAAAATATCAATCTGTCATAAAAAACCTCAAGTTGTTCTACATTCACATCACAAGTAAATCACAAATATGAATTTAGAAAAGGGAGGTAAATCTTTCAAAGCAACACTGAGAATGATCAACTGATGGTTTTAATAACAAAACTCCGTTATGACAGTTAATGTCCTGAAAATATTTACCAGTAGATCGACTTAGATTTCCCACAGAATTCATCAAGTTAAATTTGTTGAAAAGAAAACTTCATGAAGTTGATGGTTTTTTTCCTCATTACTAGTTTGAAAATAGAAAGAGATGTGTTTGAAATTTTTAAAATTTTTCCCACTCATTTTAAAACAATCATCTTGACAATTTGACTCTGTCATATTCATGTTTGACAACGAAATGGCTTGATTTCTACTCAACTAAAAATTGCATACGTGAATAAATTTTCTTTACCAAACTGACTACTATACAATCTGATCGTATTCACAAACCACAAATGAATTTTGAGATGGTGGAGAAAATTTGTAGCTCAGGTGGATGATTGTGGTGGTGGTGTTTTGTTCTCTGAGCTGGATGATTTGGTCGTGGAGCCTTCATTTTTCTTCTGAACAACATCATCAGCACAAACTTCAGACAGAAGTGAACTACAAGAATTTCTCCACAGCTCACATACTCACAAAAATTTATCAAATGGATTCCTCAATAGTAAGAATATGAAAATGTAAACAATTTCAATAATTTTTAAACCTAATACATTTTGAATAGTTCAGCAGCCTTGAAAGTTGAATAGACGAGTGACCCGATTCAATCGAGTCTTAGTATGAGTGCGAATACGTACAGAAATTGAATGAAGAAACTCTGATGGAATTGATCTTGCAAGATAAAATCTAACAAGAAAACATTTGACAATGCGTATTCCTTTTTTTAACTAAACAGAAAATGTATGCGTAGTTCGAATTGTTAAAAACTGTTTAAATCGGATTTTTGATTGATTAATTGATGTCTAAACGTCAACTTACAACGACTAACATAGATATGATTGAATTTTAGTATGTTGGTATCTGTTTTTTTTTAAAAAAAAGGTGTTTAAAATGACTTTCACTTATAAATAAAAAGTTGACGTTATTTTGTGGTTTATGAAATGAAAATGTCATCTATTTGACATTGTTATGTCATCAGTGTGGATGGAATCGAAAAAACAAAAAACAATGAAATAATCAATATTGAACATAAGGTACGTTTTGTTTTCTTTTATAAATTATGTTGTTTTTTTTGTGTACAACTTTTGATTTGATTCTTTCTTTTATAATATTGACTCTAATGTAAATATCATATCAAGCTGTATTGTAAAGTAATGACAGTACTAGTGTAGTGAAGGAGAACACAGATTAGGGCAACCGAATTGTATTTATCGCAAATTACAGAGTTAATTGGTAAAATAAGAAAACCATATCGTAAATCGTTAATTTGCAAAATATCAATCCATCATAACGAACTGGACTGTTCCTGTTGCAAAACATCATTCCGTTGTCTGACATTTCACTGTTCATGCGTTTCATACAAATCCCATTGTGTTCCCG